ACCGACAGCAGATATCTACCAAACACTGGCTAAGAGTGTGCAAAAGACGTATTAGTAAGGTCTGTCACAGTCTTTACTAACAAGCAAATATCCGTCCTCTTTACTTGGAGGCAATAGCTGATGCGTTTGCACAAAGGCCAAGATGCTGCTCTACTACTTATCTCATTAGCGGTCTCACTCCAGGTTCCACAATTACTATGCCTTAGGTAATCTTGCCTCCAACTCAAAATCTACCCGCAATATGAACCCATTTCTTTTTGTATTTTCTAAAACACTGAGTAAAAAGCTTCCCAAACACAAATCATCACGCAAATGGTAGGAATATTGAGTACGGCCCTCACGGGACCCTACCACATAAGGCTTTTCTCGGTGAACATCTCATTATCCTATGAGGGGTTTATTTTCGCTGTTCGGAAACACATGTTTGCCATAGTTAACGCCCTTAAATTAGCAGATACACATGCAATACGAAAGTGTTCGATCGCGTTTCCTTCGGTGGGATTAGCATGTTAGAGGCATCTCAAATGCCTACCTTGATGTTAATGGCACCGGTGGGGGAAAGGGGGCGTTGGGAAAACATTATTACTAGCTGCACGAAAGATTAAATACCGGCCGGCAATCCCTAAGCGGACGCGCACGTATGTGGTAGAGGAGAAGAATGCTATATTGAGGATCTTACAAACCTGAATTTTCAGTTTGGATTTAATTTAAGTGTTGGTGGCAAGTGACACAGAAGTATGTGATGCTGGTGACTTTCGAGGGGAACAACGAGCCGAGTTTAAAGATAAAGATCATTCCCCATTTTCTTCGATAAGACATAGTGGAGACAGACGCGAGAACAAAGAAATACGAGCGAGAGACTGCGCGTCCGAGGTCCCTAAGGTGGCGCAAATTTATGTGTGACTAGGGGAAATCTCCCCCGATGGATAAATCACAGTAATAAGAGGTGAACAGCCAGCATGTAAGAAAACCGGAGGATACATCGACCTGAAAGCTGTGAGCGGATAATCAAATGCAAGTAATCGAC